CCTCTGCTGTTCTCTAGTCATCTGTGTTGAAAACACCAGCAAATGCCACTTCCTTGTCAGTCTTTAGTGAGACTCTCATAGAAGCTGGAGTTTTTGGAGAATCGTGTAGAAGTACAGGTTGAATATCGGTGCAGTGTTTCACATTTTCAGATTAGGATATTCAAACCTGTACAAATTATCTTAACTAAAAGTAAATATTCTAAATTAAGTTCCACTTCTAAGTCATATGGCTTCTGTCTTGGAAATTTTACCAACTATAGGAGCCAGAAGGCTTAGGAAAGGGGAGGGAAGATGTACTATATGGATCTTGTGGCTTCTAACCATCAATATAGGTTGTTTTCTTTCTTTGATGGCAGTAGGAAGACCTCATTTTCCTAATATACTATTCTTGACGCTTTATGTTAAAGATACTTTTCATTAAAGATTCTCCCAGGCCGGGGATTTAGCTCAGTGGTTCCACCGCCTGCCTTGAAAACTAAGGACCCGAATTCGATCCCCTGTACCAAAAAAAAAAAAAAATTCTCTCATGAGGTGTTTGGCTGGGAGTTGGGAGGCTAAGGGGCTCAGGTCCTGGCTCTTCAGTGAACTTACTGTGTGACCTTGGGCAGGTTACTTAACCTCTCTGTGCTTCAGTCCCCCTGTCTTGTGAAATGGGAGTAATACCTACCTCACAGGGTTGTTGTGGGGATTAATTAGAAATAATGTCTGTAAAGCATTTAAGGTTCTTGAAGAAGGCGCTATATAAATACAAAATAATATCTATTCAAGTGGTTTATTTGTGAAAAAGAAAAGTTGAAGATCATTTAATTTCTCCCTTGTGAAAAAAGTTTGGGAGTTTTCTTTTAGCCTTAATTACCTGTTACTATTTTATCTCAATTTCCCAATTCACGTAAGTACAAAATATAAATGATGTGCAAAGTATCTGTATAAGGGAATAAAAAAGTATGGATTATCTAATTGGAGAAATGTTTAATATAAAATACTTTTTCAATATAAAATTAATTCAACTATTATTAAAGTTCTGAAAAAAAAGTATCAAAACCAAAAACTGAGCTGGGCATGGTGGTGCATGCCTGTAATCCCCCTACTCAGCAGGCTGAAGCAAGAGGCTCACCATGAGTTTGAGGCCAGCCTGGACTATATGGTGAGACCCTGTCTCAAAAAACCAAACAAACAAACAAACAAACAACTGAGAAAATAAAATCCCAAACCTTCATAATCCTGTCTTATCATAGAAATAATTACTTTCATTTTGAAGTATTTCTTTTTAGTCTTTTTTTCTTATACAGTTTTAATATGTAATATTAATGACAGTATATATATATTTTTCCACTTATTGCAATTTTAATCATTTTAATTGATGAATTCAAAATAACATCAATTCACACTTATTTGGTGTTTAGGTTGAATAATTAATGGCACTGTACTGAACATTCCTGTGTGAGGCAAATGTGAAGTGAGTTGTCCATCTTGGGATTTTGGTACATTCAGTGGAGGTGCCTAGCAGAGAAGCAGTATAGAGTGATGATTAAGATCCACATAGCTGATTTTCCATTCATCAGCCACATGCTTTGGGCAAGTTATTTAACTTTCTGTGCCTTGTTCTCTTTTGTCTACAGGGGAAGCGTGCTAACATGTACCACATATATTTTTGATGAAGACTATTGAGTCAGGCCTTGTGCTTTGAATCTCTTTTTATCCAATGTTCATATTTGTTTAAAGTAACACCTAGGTACTAATGAATAATAATGTTAGATAATAAATGCTGCTGTGTGTGTGTGCAGGGAATGTTTAACAGTGGTAATGGTTGGCCTGAGAGATAGATGAATGGGTGACTGGATAATTTGGGCTGCATTGGTTTCTTAGCCCTACTCAAACCATTGTAGTTAGAGTTCATGTAGTAAAGAGAAAAATGCAAGAGGAATCATAATAACAGCATTTTAATTTTAGATCTTCTTTGTTTTTTTTTTTATTAAATTCTTTTATTGGTACATTGTAGGTATACAACACAATTAC